CCGAATACAGCGATCGGCCAGAAAGCCAACTGGCAATGTGATAAAAGGGCGACACCTCAAGGTTTGGAGCATTGAAATGAACTGAATTTGGTAACTATTCGTCTTTAACTTCCTGCATCGCTTCTCTCGAAAGAAGTGAGGAGGAAAATAATAGCTGAGAGTGATCATCAAGAGAAGATCGCTACTTGGTTGAATTTTTTCTAAAGGATAAGAAAACGGTAAGGCGGTAGAAGAAGGAAGAAAAAATGGCGGAAGAATAATTTCCCAGTCATGGTTTTTTGTATTCAGCTCTATTGACGGATCAATTTTCAGTCCTTTAAATTCCTTTCCACCAATCTTCTGAATTTGAAAACATGAACAGATTTGATTTCTCGATTCCTAAACGTCGATTAGAACTGTACTGCTTGATTTGGACTGATGCTTCAGATGCTTCGTTCATAACTAAGCCAGCAGCAAGTTTCTTCAATGGGTCGAACTGGATGGCATCTGTAGAGGGCAAAGAGACCGGATTTTTCTTAAATGCGCTTCAAGTCCCATCTGCTGAGGTGAACACTCATAACTTGTATCCACCTGAAGCAAGGGAAAAATTCAAGAGTTAAACTTGCCAAGGCACTTTTACATGAGACTTTGCCACGACAGTTTACAAAAAAAAAATGATTGTGCTCTATGATGTTCAGTCGATAATTTTAGAACAACCAATACTAAATGTATATCTATTACCCCAAACATTCAACAGCATGATGACTGAAATAGTATGGAATATTTCTGATCTAAATTTTGAAAAAATGAATAAGCAGTGTAATTTCAGGATACAGCCGTCATTCAAGCGTCTGGAAGCAATCGTATGCTCATCGATGATTTTATTGAACTGGACGCATTCTATTTCTCGAATGAGGTCAGTGAACTAAATCTCCATGTAGCTACCTAAAAGTCACTCGATGTTGAGATTTATTTGAAGCTGTTGCTTTCATCACGCATTCATTATTTATTATGAGCGCGTTGCACTTGCTTGAATTCGACGCAGTCATGTCATAAGTTTACTTTTTTTGCATACATACACATATGTACAAGTACAAGTAGCGACACGATCTCGATATGTGATTCAGGAATTTTTCATGAATTTCATTTGTGCCTTCCACGGTATTATTAGTATCTGATCAGTTGTTATGAAGAACGTTGACTCATCCAAATTCCATTCTTGATCTCTCTTATCACCAACGATATCAACGAACTCCACGCATTCAGTGTTTCGACACGAGTCTAAAAATAGAGTGAGAATTTGAGGTGAATTCCGTTTTGAAAATGAACACATCATATGACAATTGCTCAATTGTGATGGACCAATGCTGAATTGTTGAAAATTTCCACAATGCCGAAACGATGAATACGCAAATTGTTAT